GGGCAAATATCCACTTTTTGATGTGGGACGAGCTCTGACGCCCCACGGCCCCAGCTTGTCTGGCAAAACAGCCGTTGGACGTCAGAGTAATCTCGGACTACATCATTAACAGGTGTGTACTCATGCGCTCAAGGGTGTTCACTATCAGCTCAGTAGTGGCACCAGTGTTGTTGCATTAGGCAAGTAAAATATGTTGATAAGTTGCACTGGTGACAACATTAATTGGGGTAGGATAACAGGTTGTAGGTTACACAAGTGGGGCATATCTGTGGTAATTTGTAACATTTACGATTATTAAAATTTAAAAATTCATAGTATTCATAATATCCGTTACATCGCCCATCTGTAATTTATATTTTTGGTCTTCGGATTTTACAAATGCATATCTAAAAATGACTTAATCTTTTGTTATTTGTGCTAAATGACATTAACCATCAAGTATAGATAGTAAAAATAGATTTTCATCGATTAAGAATGTACTGTCCAAGAATTATGCCATTTTGCTTTATGGAAATTAAAGATAAGGGATTCAGTGAATACCGACTTTGATGTAAAATAGCACTTCTTACTCCATTCTTGTTTGCAACTTTTATAATTGGTATTTAGTTAACCCATTAGATTAATGATATAAGCGGCATATGCAGTTATAAATAAATTACATAAGCAGCCGCATGGCGCAATTTTTGCATTCCCCACCCACCCATCCCAGTAGCATTATTGAATGGGGTTAATTAAGCATAAATTATATATATCTCTTTTGCATTAATTAATTATAGGATACCACATGTATTATTTTTTTTATTATGTTTTATGATTACTCATATGTTTAGCTTTCAGAATTGCATTCTGAATTGACTTTAAAGGAATATAAAGCATCTGGGGATTGTCTACCCTTCAGATGATTGTACTGATTGCATTATTAACTGCATTTTCTTATTATCAAAAATTTGGCCAATTACACATCCTTACAAGTATGTTTAACAAGTATATTTAAAATTGTTTTTGCCTTGAATCCTAAAAGAGCAAAATGGGTTTTAAATCAGGCACATAGTTTTATCTTTTCAATTTTCTCACGGTTTGATATTCTTGGACCAGAATAATAATGTCTAATTGGGGTTGCATGTCTTCTGACTAATGTTTTGACAACCAAAATTTCAGAAATCGAAAAAAGGTTTCGCTAATGTGCAAAGCATATTTCAGGTTTCACAAATGATGATAAAATGTTTTCTCCTGTATATATCTTATATATTACCCTATACACAATAAACGTCCAATAGTTCTAAATGCCATTTCTGCTATGACATTGATATACTCTCCATTTAACCAGGCTCTATATATGTTCATTTTTAAAGATCGTAGTAAACTTACGTTACTTAGGGGTTTATTACAATAAGATTTACTGTACATAATTGTCCGAACAGGTAAGGAAATCTGATAAAATATTAATATACCAAAATGAAATATTTCTAATAAATAGATTGAATGGAATTGATTGTCAGTCGAAAGTTCACTGTCTAAATCAATGGGAGTTGTCTTACTTTGGTCATGGACTACTTAATTTAACTGGCTTTGGTGATTTTGAAATAAGCATAAGTTAGACTAGGAATTAAACATTTCATTTAAAGAGTTGAAACTGGGATAAGAGACACAATTCCTGTAAATGCTTACGAGTACTCCTATATCGGTGCTTTGTTTCTATTGTTTTTATGTGAGTAGTTTTTTTGTGCATCGTTCCGATCTGTTGAGTTGGGCAATTTGCAAATTATTGTTACAGTTTATTATATGCTGTACTATTACAACAGTGTCCCAGGTTTCTGGAGGGTTGAGCGAGCACACACATTTTTTATCCCGACACCCCTATATATTGGTTGATGTATATCATATTTGGTTTTTTTGTTTTTTTTGTTTATTGTTTTGTGCATAAATCAGAAGGTTAGTTTTCTCGTTTGAATTGGTTTAAATTTGTTATTTCGGTGCTATGCGTCATTAGGTCCCTGGGAGAGTTGTCTCATTGGCAGTCATACCATATCTTTTTTATTATTATATTAACCCCGTCATATTCTTTATGTGCATGTCCAAAGCCAGGAGGACCCTGTAGTTGTCGTTGATTCATGTCTGTCGTATTTGTTTTTGTAAATTATTTTGTTATAAATTCGGCCGTTGGTTTCTCGTTTCATTTGTTTCATATTTTTCATGTCGGTGTCTTTTATAGAAAAGAGGCGAAACATACCAAAGGAATATGCAAACTCAAAAAGTCGAAAACAAACTGACAATGTCATAGTAAAAATCGAAAACAAACTGACAATGTCATGGTAAAAATCGAAAACAAACTGACAATGTCATGGTAAAAATCGAAAACAAACTGACAATGCCATGGTAAAAATCGAAAACAAACTGACAATGTCATTGTAAAAATCGAAAACAAACTGACAATGTCATGGTAAAAATCGAAAAACGACGTAAAGACAAATAACAGTACAAAAAACACAACATAGAAAGCTAAAGATTGAGCAACACGAACCCCATCAAAAACTGGGGTGATATAAAGTGCTCCGGAAGAGTAAGAAGATCCTGCTTCACATGTGGCACTCGTCATGTTGTTCATGTAAGTATAAACCCGGTGATGAGTCTAATTCGGTAGGTCACATTCGTGGAAAGAGGACTGGGTTGTGGTTACGACAATTGAATCATATCCATCGTCATCTGTAAAACAGATATTTCACAACGGTCAACTAACTGGTAATGTCGTTATAGCTAACTATACGGTATGGGGTTTTTTCTCATTGTTGACGTACGGTGACCTATTATATAATTGCTTATATCCACGGCATTTGAACTTTGGTGGAAAAATGTCTCATTGGCCATATAACTACATCTCCTTATTCTTATATAAGAAGTCAAATACCTATATATCTGTTTGTCACTGATCAATTCTTTGTAATATATACATTTGGAGGATTGAATATCGTTGAACAATTTTCACAAGTAAAAGAGATTAACAATACCAATAATTATATTAAATAACGAATTTTTCAATTATAAAAGGTATACGGGTAGATATTAGGAAGAAGTACAAGTGCAAAATTGAATAGAATAGAGAAAGGAAAGGGGGAATGTGTCAAAGAGACAATAACCGCACCAAGGAGCAGAAAACAGCTGAAAGCCACCAATGAGTCTTCAACGCAGTAGAAAATACCGCACCACCCGGAGTCGGGCATCGACTGGCCCCTAAATAAAAATGTATGGATTTTGCTCATTGTGACCTATAGTAGCTAACTTTTGTGTCATTTTGTCTCTGGTGGACAGTTGTCTCATTGGCAATCATACCAAATCTTTTTATTTTTAAAGAGTGTTTTTAATATTGTATTTCTATTGTTTCATAGATCAAACTTATTCGTTCAGTTTATGTTTACTTGTTTTTATTTAAATGTCTTTTTTATTGAGTTAAGCCATTTCAATTGATATTTTATAGTGCGTCTTTTTATGTTGTAATGTTACACTATCGTATCAGGTTAGGAAGAAGGTTGGCGCCTGTTAAAACGTTTAAACCCGCTGCATTTTTATGCACATATCCTGAGTCCGGAGCCTGTTGTTCAGTGGTTGTCGTTTGTTGGTGTGGTTCATAGGTGTTTCTCGTTTCTCGTTTTTTTTATAGATTAGACCGTTGGTTTTCCTGTTTGAATTGTTTTATAGTCATTTTGAGGCTTGCTGTTCGGTGTGAGCCAAGGCTCTGTGTTGAAGGCCGTACTTTGACCTATAATTGTTAACTTTTTTATACATTGTGACTTGGATGGAGAGTTGTCTCATTGGCACTCAAACCACATCTTCTTATTTATATTAAACCAGTTTAATAATACTATTCATTCCAGTTAAGCACACATAAAAAAAAAATAATCTGAATTTTTGGTTACACCCTTACATTATTTACCTAACTGCTATATCTTGAACAACACATGAAAAAGTTGCTAGATATATAGTTGTGACCTGTGGCAGTTTAAAGCAAAAAAGGAAACTTTACGTACTAATCCATCTAAATGAAACTGTTAATAACTAAATAATGACTTAATTAGAATCTCAAGTAACAAAATTTACACTCTTTCTTTCTCTGTGCATGCATGTATTTCTAACTACATTTAATGCACACAACTATCATATTTCAGATTTACCTCACAAAATGTATGTTTCTGTTACAATAATTTCTCTGTAGATTTCGTCTGGTAACATGGATTGATAGAGTTTTTTGCTTCACCACAATTGATAATTATGTCAGACATATGCAGGATAAGAACAAATTAACTAAAAAATGTATGTTATAGTCAAATGATGTACAATTTTAACAGTCTAATGGATAGAGATAGGAAATTTTCCCTTGCAACAGGCCACATATTGGTCCCTAAAATAAATGTTGCATGCTTTCTTTAACGTGCACAGGGTTGGCCTCTCTCTAAACGAGACAGGCAGCGGATTAAACACACCATTCTGCCAGAAATGGATATGTATTTGTAAATCTGCACTACCAAACGGACACCCGTCTTTACTGCAGGATAAAATAAATTCAAGTGACCATATTTCTTTGCCCCTGGGATTTGTATAATGAGTAACCAAGAACTGATCATATCAAATAAACGCTGGCATTGTACAGCGAATAACAATAAAACGTTGTCAAATCATGTACGGAAATATTTCCATTCACAGTTGTGTAAATATAAGAAAATTTAAACGAGGAGATGCTAACCCCCTATGATAGGTGTAGATAATGAAATCAAACTGTCTTTAAAATATTTGAATGTCAAATGACGTTAACAAGCAAAGGTTTTATTCACACAGTGCAATTTCAGGCAGATGCCGGATATTACTGTGTCGCTTTTTTTTTTTGTCATGTGGTTGAACCAATCCCATACCTTTATATTTCTGTAAAGAATTAAAAAGAAAACTAGAAAACACGAGATATTTTATTTTTCTACATACATCTTATTCATAAAATAAATAAATATTACTGTTGTTCATGGCAAAAACATGAATATAATTATAATTTATGTACGAATTACACAATTTCTATGTCACTCTATCTATCAGAAAAGGGACAAAATAACAAACTCGAACGAAATTCATTCACAAAAAAGGCACTATGGTAATGAACTGATTGACATCCTCATATTTTCCTAATTTATTCCACAAAGCAGGTCTTTCCATTCGCTTCCTTTGTTTTTCGTAGATTTCCTTAGATAAGATTATGGTATATAGGACATCCTGGTACCAAGTCAAGTAAGAGCAAGGTAAAGAAGTTATACCAAGCTTTTAATCGGTACAATTTTTGGGGGAAATTAACTGCTTTATATTTTCTTTACACGACAAAAAATCATCGGAAAACAGTAAACTTTCACCTTAAATTACACCAATTATATGTTTGATTTTTCTTATTTTGGTTGTTCTTACTTGACTGAGTACCAGGATGTTCAACCACAGAAAAGGTAACCTGTCGAAAAATTATATAATCCGTAGTCAAAAGTCGGTAAAATGAAAATAGTCTATTGAGCTTTGAGATGATTTTATAATGAAGCGAGTCGGCAGAAAGCGAATGTCCTGTTTGAAGTGACAACGTGTAACAATCTGAAGATAATTCAAATATAAAGATTATTATCATAAACAAAAATGTCGTCCTTTAAAAACTGTATCCCAAACTTTTACAAAATGTTGTTTTGTTCCTTTTCTTTCGACGATATAGGTACATCTGTGTTTTATAACATTTTCAACGAATGTTATTAGAAAATTATTTAAGCATTCACACAATTTTATTGCACCTAATACAGGCTTTGGTTTAATATAGCACTAAATATCACGAACGACAAAAAAAGTAAAATTGTATTTATTTCAACAATATCATTTCATGTCCTCTGTGAACTGTTATTAATGTTTTATCCTATACGTCACTTCCTGCTGAGACGTCATGTGATCTTACACCTGAAAAGATATTTAACGTCTATGTATTAGATAAACAATCACAGGAAAATGTTGAAAACTGAATTTTCCATTAAGATGAACATATTAGACGAACCATTAACAATTATGACTGTTTATATGTACATTTTATGAATGATATACTAGTATCAGAGTATTCGTCTCTATCTGAGACAAAATAATTGGAGGCACTTTGACCAAAATTGTGGAACATGTTTTTAATATGTCAGAAATTCACATATTTCAAAAAAAAGACGACCAATTTTTTGCAAAAATGGTATACAGTTCCTAGATAAGTTTGCAGTCAACAGAAAGATAATATACACCTGCAACGTGCAACTACATAATGAAACGACACTCATAGTTAAACTGTAGTTCATAGACAGTATGAAAAAATGTTGGGTTTCATTTAAAACAGTGATGTGATCGGACAAGAATAGGAACGCTGGATTCATTATGTTATCAATGAGTCACAACTGCCCATTTTTTATGGGATTGTTCTCAGATTATTAAATATCAGTCTCGCTTTGAATTTTTTTTTGCTTAAAATTTAAAATCATTGCTCAAATACAGTATTTAGAACAATCCCGATTACGTTATATCAATGTAGTATTATACATAGCGTTTAGAAATAGCAACAGGAAGTTGGTCAGTGATTGTCATTTTTTTTTGTTTGGGGATTTTCAAAATTTGTTGTAGATGTAAAATCTGTGATGGTGTATGTGTTATCCTTTCACATTGTATATGACTGGAGACGATTAACAACTTGATAAATTATAAAGATACCTGTCTATTGTTACAATTTAGATGTATTTTTTGTGTTTGTGTCATTGGGTTGCTGTCACATTGGTATACACCATACGTCTCTTTTTATTCTTATAACTAAATTGTAGTATTGGTCACTCTTTCTTATGGTACCGCCTTACGTGTTACTGCTGTCGAATACTTTTGGAATAAAGATAAGAATATAATATCTGTCAATCACACTACGAACTGTTGAGGCTTTTAACAGGAACAAGTAGCGAAAATTAGAACAGAATTTCGCATAGTTTGGACATGGCGTATATTTGCAAATCAGTAAATATGAGCATTTTACAGTAGAAGAGATATGACAAGATTCATTATTTGGCCCCTGAAGATGAAAAAATAATCAAATTCATCTATTCTTGTTAAAGTGGTATAAAGTGGACACTTCAGTTGGGAAAAGTCAGTTTTAATGTTACTCTGATGCCATACGCATGTTAAACAGGACATATTTGACATCAAACGGTGCCTTTACACATTTTTTTGGTAAATTTTGTTTGCGTGAAGTGCATGCCCTAAAGAAAAGGTGTAAGACATAGTTTTAATCATATCAGACAGACTTGTGTATTTTAAAGAACATCTGAAGGATATTTTGGATAGATTTATGATACAGTACTTTTTGATTTTCCAATTAGTTGGCTTATTTGCAATCATACTTAATGCATCTCCTTTTGTATATTGATTACTGTATATATTTTTTCATATCGTTGTCCATGAGGAAACGAAACAAAATATATTGCACCTACCATTTAGAATTTAGAATCAAACCGTGCGTACAAAACTAACACTAAATTATTCTGTGTCTGAATGACTTACAATTGTCTTTTATTGACTATAAAGTTGAAACTTGTCTAAAATTACTGGTTAAATATTTTACTTTAACACTAATGTTAGAAAACATCTGCATTTTTACAATTTAAAAGAAAAGCCTTGTGTTCACAGATCTATTGAATCCGCCCTTTTTCGAAATAAAGATGTTTCACCTGTTTTGACACAGTACCTTGTACATATCTAACTTCCAGTCTTGAGTTAGATAATGTCTATGTCAACCTTTATCGCTTAACAATTCTGATCTTTTGTAAAACATATTAGAATTAAATAATTCATTTTTATATAAACAAAAATATTTGTACATAAACATATATTGCACAAACCTTGATGGGATTTTCGTTTCTTTTCTTTCTGTTTTCGTAGCATCTTTGCTTTGATTAAAAACTCTTTTATTTTATCTGGGAAAAACATAAGATAACATATCAGTATCATTAACATTAACAAATTCATTTTGAAAGAAATCCTTTTTCTGGCGGAGTTTTTTTTAAGGTATGATGTGGTGAGTATATACAATACTTTAGCAGAATACTTAAAAGTCAAATGTGAGATTGTTCCAGTTACATGTGTACTTAAGACTGATTGAATTTAAGATATAACATGTATGAATGATCACTTCTGTACGAGTAATTTTTTAACGTTAGACTAGGTTTTTTTTATTTTATCGTAAAGCACTATTTCATTGTATTACCTTAGCAAAGCTGTTCATGAACCATATATATATATAACCACTGGTTATTTTTCTACTAATGAACATACACCTGCATTGACTATAAAAATAAGGAGATGTGGTATGATTGCCAATGAGACAACTATCGACCAAAGTTCAAATGAAGTGGATGAAAGCAATTATATTCAACTTTACGGCCTTCAACAATGAGCAAAACTAATACCGTATAGTCAACTATAAAAGGCCCCGGCATTAAAACAATTCAAGGAAGAAAACAAACGGCCTAATTTATAACAAAACAATTAACCAAAGACAACCACTGAACTACAATCTCCTGACTTGGGACAGGCACATAAAGAATGTGGCGGGGTTAAACATGTTTGTGAGCGCTCAACCTCCCCCTAACTGGGACAGTGGTGTTACAGCACAACATAAGAACAAACTGTACAAATCAGTTGTAATGGGTTTAAAACAAAAGATCGGTACGAGGGGCACAAATAACTAACATTAAAACAATAGACACAAAGCACCGACATAAGATTACTCGCAGTTACTGGAAGCTAGTTCGAAGCCAATTATAACTAATAATTAAATCAAGTTCTATCAGACTTAGTATTAATAATTACACATCCAACGGATTTAGTGTAACGACGTTATATTAAACAGTCTGAGAAACGCATGACCATGTGCAATGACAAAATATACTGACTGTTTATATTTGTATTAACGCTAGTCTAAAATTATTTTTTTGTGTTATCCAATAGAAGTCAAGTATGTCCTGATGAAAAGAGCACACACATGCATACCCATTCTTCCAAAATATATAAATTACAACAGAGCGAGTTTTCGGTAAACAGAAGTAGAATATCCAAGTAATTAGGTACATGTGACACGGAATGGCATAACCAGATGGTGAATGGTGTCATATATAAAGAGGCTATATATATATGACTTGCAGTTGCTTAGTAAATATTACGACAGAAACAGAAACATGTTACGGCCATATGGATATACGGGTATACGGACTGACCAGTACTTAGCTCTCTTTTGGAACAAGGATATAACAATGAGAAAGTTGTGTTTGTTAATAGTCGGTACTACAATAATGAAATGACTTACCGACTGAAAACGATTCAAGATCGCTGTCGTCAAACAGGTCGTCGTCACCAGAACTGCCTTCTTCTTTGTCATCTGTAATTAAAATAAACAGTCATATAAATATATTTACAAGTTGGTATGAGTATGAAATAACAAAACAAATGATTTTCTAATGATTGCAAATCTTCAAATAGTTACCGTTGACTGGTAGATTTTGCGAATCTAAATCGACACGCGATTAATAATTTTAACGGGATAGTTTTCTCAATTACATCATTTTCTCGCCAAACTTGAACTGGTCAAATTCAAATAGTATGATTACACATATTATTGGCATTTAGTGATACAGATATACTGTTTTTTCTATTACTATAAACCTTTCGTGGTAAATATATACAAATTTCCAGTACTGTCCAACTACATGTAAACCGATTTTTTAGCATTGTTGTCTGGAGACGGGTCATCAACAAGTTTAACTTTTCCTGATCGACAGGTTCGTTTAGCACTTCATATCTTTATTCTCGTTAATCAAAGTACAATTGTATGGATAGGATTTTTTCAACGCGAATTTGGCAGTTTGAATAATTATCTTTTGAAAATAAAGTAACTTACTGTCCTGGATTTCTTTCATTTTTTCCGTTTGATCCACCTCCATAGACTAAAAAAGTCAAGATTATCAACATCATATGATACTTAAATAGCGATAAACTAACTTGTAACAGAGAGAGTGTAATTTTTTGTTTTTCATTTCATCATTTGTTTTCCAAATGACGCTATAAAGATCTATAAAGGATTCGGTCTTGAAAAATCACCATAATATGATCTAGACAATGCTCAAAATACTATCTATTTTCTTTTTTTGTTTTATTCGTGTTTTAATTTTGAATTTTTAATGAAATGTACTTTCATATTTTAATGTTTAACCAAATTGTTTAGTGTTTTTTTTTCAGAATATTTGGAAGTCAAGATGTTTCTAATATGATTTTAAAAGATTTTGTTTCTCAACACTACCTAATTTAAAACATCACTTTTCAAAACTGTGGTTTCTGATGCTTGACCTAAAGCTGGGCTGTATTCGTTTTTCTTCCAATTGATATATTAGACTCCTTATCCAAACTGACTCCTAATACAATATGGCTACCTCAATAAAAGAGGGGCGAAAGATACCAAAGGGACATTCAAACTCATAAGTCGAAAATAGACTGACAACGCCATGGCTCAATAACACGTTCAATATCAAAGTACACATGAACTATAAGAGAACAAAGTAATTAAGCTGGTCAAAAATCATCTTTTCTAAATATCATATTTGGAGTACTGATAGATTGCATGTGGTAGATTACCAATATAACGGCTATAAAGGGCAAGTATAGCTATAGAAACAATGTATTCATTATAAAACTATTGCTTTATTTGAAACCAATTAATAAATGTTATATGTGACCGTTGAGTTCGGTGTTTTGGGAAATACTCCATTACACAGACATGTTATCATTTTTGTCTTCTTCCGTAATATACAACTGTTATTTCGTAAATTAATTTACTGCGGGATACATACATTAATTTTCTGTGGCATATAGAACAACCAACGTTTAGAATATTCATTAACATTATATTTATATGCAACTGAAATGTCATACCATTTAATTATTTTTTTCACAACGAGCCATCGTGAAATGTCACGTGTCACAATTTTAACTATCACATTCGGAAAATTAGACTTGTACAATGAATACCTCTCTCCAGAGGACATAATTATTAGGCTTTCAAAAATCATTTTACATTGAAAACAAAATTATTCCCTTAGATAAAACTCTGAACGATCCCAATCACAATTGAATGTGGCCGACGCATGGTTTGTCAGAAATTTGATTAGTTTTGAGATACTGTATTCTCATATGGCAATGTAATTAGAAATTAAACCAGAAATATCAAAGTTTAATGACGTTATAGGAGATATAGTTATACTTTTTGTGGCTATTTTCACTAGTTTTGTAATTATTAAACAGAAAATATTGTTAGTCCACACTTAAGGTGATATTCTCAATTGTTTTTGTGATGAGAATTAGTTATATCACTGTATTATATGACAACATCTTGTGTTTCTTATTAAAAGCTTACAGCATTTTCAGGAATTATAAGTTATATTGAATTAATTTTGATTTTGTATGAAAGCAATTTGAATTTGTTTTTAACAATATATTAAAGTAAACTTCGACACATCTTGCAAGCATTAATATAATGTTCATAAAATTGAGAATGGAAATGGGGAATATGTCAAAGAGACAACAACCCGACCATAGAATCAAACTGTAAGAATATGAGTGAACAAGAGACCTCAAATGGTATTGGTATCATCTAGACTATAAAACAAGTGGTTGAACTGATTGCTTGAACCGAAACGCCTGTAACGCAAACATTCAACTTGCCTTATTTCCATTTTTTTTATAATTGTCTTCAATATTCTTTTCTTGTATTTAGTAAAACGCTTTTTGAAGATGTCTACCGAATAGTTTAGTTAAAAAACATTTGTGGCAATGGATTCGCTTCAGCATACTGTGTAATGTTATGCAACGCAGATATGCATACACGTACGTCTATGGTACAACATTTATCAGACCAAAAGTTTGGAAAGCGAAAATATGTTATGTTGGACAGCACAAAAACCAAGAGCCTCAACATAATTACCGATAAAAAGGCATAAAAACTTTTGATATAACACAACATAAAGTTAGATTTACATATGTACATGCTTTTGAATTTAAAAAAAATAGACTCACCTTAGTTTCGCGGATACTGTTCTCATGGCTGCAAACACTGAATATTTTATTGTTTTGACTTTCCTCTTGATCTTTACAGAGTGTCTTCTCTTCTGTTTCAATATCAATGCTGTCATCATTACACGATGAAAATTGATCAACAATTTCTTCTTCTGACGGCGAATTAGTTGTACTTATATTCTCATTTTTCTTATCTTTCTTTTCTTGGCTTGACGTTATTTCTGAGAGTTTACTCATTTCATCCATGAATGATTCGGTGGTATCAATTAATGGCAAAGGGAACTGTGGATGTCCGTAACTGGACATGTTGAATTCGGGACTGAATGGAACATTGCATGATGAAGGGACACCATGACGTTGCATGTACAAGGATTTCCACCAAGGAGTGTAATTCAGACTCATTGATCGTAGCATGTCGCCATATGAGGCCACTGGTGAATGACTTGCTGGAACCGGAAATGCAGAATGCATGTTGTCTGCCATATTTAGCCGATACAAATCCGTACTTTGCATTCCTTGATACGTTCTCATCATTGATGGAACAACTGGAGATTTATATTCTGTTGATTCTCTTGACCTGTTGGGTGAAAGAGTAAAGTTCGGTTTCCCACTAGATGTTCTCTTACGACAGCCTCCATTGAACATTGCTTTTACATCCTCCCATGCAAACAGCATAGTTTCCGCTGGAGTAGATTCTACCAAATGAAGGTGACGACGCCAAGAATTAAAATTGGCAGCATCAGGATGCCTGTAGGCGCTGCTTGATGTTTTATGATAGTGGAAAATAAATTTATTTGGAGAAAAGAATGAATTACATGTAGTACATTTGATGCATTTTGCACGTGAACTGTTGTATCGAGATGGCATAAACATTCCCTGACAGCCCCATCCACAGGAATGTTCTACTTGAAAGGAAAAGTTCTCCGGAAGCTTAGGCGGTGGGATGTCTTCTAGAAAAGATTTGACAAGACGCTCTGCTTCTCTTTTTGTAATAAGTCCACATCTTCTTGACGATACGGGCATAGCGCCACTACGGCGTAGTACTTCAAGTTGTATTGGTGAACACTGCATGCATGTTATCCCAAGCGCAACTCTCCTATTGTGGATTTCATTGTAGCTGAAATCTCGTAGTAGTGTGTTAGATATTTGTGCAAGACAAAGTCTTTCTTTATCTTCTACATAAAGGCAAACAATGGGGACGCCAAACAAACTAATCGTACCAATTTGCGCATCCGTCGATCCTGAAACAATATCTTTGCTAGTCTGGTTCTGCAAATCATCAGCAAGTTTTGATTCATCTGAAATGTTTGAATCAAAGCTTCTCGGGAAAACTGCTGGTGCAATAATAGACTGTTGGCGTTTTTCTTTCGTACCTAAGTAAAAATACATGTTACAAATTAAACTAATTTCAAATTACAAAGTAATAGCATTACTGAAAATAAAACAGCATTGACAAACAGATACAAAATAAACATCCTTTTCCATAAAAAACCCTAACCTCTTAAATTAATATAGATATATATGTATGTAACGCTTTATAAATGATTGGTTGATTGGTGACTTAACGTCCATTGCCAAATAGCACATGTTTATTCAGGACAATGCTTCCTACATGCATAGGCTGTCTCTATAACGGAATTTAGTGTACAATTTATAAATTATTGATGAACAATTTTATTTGTTAACTGAAACTTATAAATTAACGAACATTATTCGGTTATTAGCGCGTTAAATGTCGCGCACTTTCCGAATTTGTGTTATTTAGTGTCAACAAACAATCTGAATCGCAGTTAATGATTGGAGTACATTTCTTATCTTTTATTCTTTCGGGGTTATCTGTTAAATTATGCTGAAAAGCAGCGAGAGAGAATTGTGGTACTATATAATGGCACTTTACAATTTTTAATTTGATAATGGTCAAATAGCGTTTATTGAAACTTCAAGGTTTTCGTGTGTCAGCATTAGTTTTAATATGTATTTAGCTTTACGGTCTTGTTGTTAAAACAGCCTCTTTTTCATAGGAAAACACTTTTTGTAATCGATGAAATTGAAACCTTATTGAAATACAATTTTTTTCACTGTTAATGACTATGCTACACGTGGCAAGTACGCTTTGCGTGAGCAGCAGCACAGTAGTGAGAGATTAAGTATCATGATAGTTCATACAAGATAGTTATTGGACTTAAGGTTGGATAGCCCAAAGGCTTACGAACAGACAATCTATGTTGTGAAAATTTAAAGAAAAACTAACTGCAATATATTTTTATAATTACGCAACTTATAGCTACGTTGAACTTCTTTATTTGGAACTTGTTTGAATAGAGATTCCAATAGTTGAATGGTTATAGTAATATTGTCACCCAAACTTCTCCCATCCGGGAATATAACCCATGACAAAGGGGTGCCCGTTTGGCTTTGAGGAATGTATGAAGCCACGTCCGATCGGACATTGGACATTAAATTCGATTTATCGTGTTGGACGAGTGCCGCGCGCTTTCTGCACCACGTTAAAGATTCTTTGCTTCATCTGTCAGTAGTGGTTCCGTCGGTTGCGTGTGTTAAAGCAAAAACTCTACCCCTATCCAGCATACCCTCTTGTTCCATTAACCCTAAGCTCTGTTGAATGGGTTATAGAAATACAGTCATCTATACCTCTTTCATAGGGTAGTAAAACCCGTGCAAATGGGGACTCCCGTTTGGCTGTGTGGGATGTATAAGTGCGATGCTTCGGTCAGAAAATAACGTTAAATCTGATGTCTTGTGTGTGGATATTGCCTCGCTCACTCTAAGTAAACAACTCTGTGCTTTATCTCTTTGAGGCGTTCGTTGGTGGCTTGTTGCAAGAAACAAAAAATTTTAACCCCATATAATATACTCTCGTTTTTCCATTGGCAGTCCAGTTTTCTGCCCTTTGCTCCCTGTCGTTCAATTTTGAAGTACTTGTTTTTTGGGTTATAGTTATAGTCGCCCATTTGTACTGATCAACCAATCAATCATGTTTCGATAGTTTCTCTCATTTGTTTTATAACTGATGCACTTATTGCACACTTTTTTTTAATCAGGACAATGCTACGACTATACAAACTATTCTTTTATAATGAAATATACAGTAAAAATTAAATATGACTGTTAATAACATATTTTTACTGTCAATTCTGCAGACCACATCACTATGAAGAACAAATTGATTATAACCGAGCCATAATTAATCAGAATACGTTTCAATGAAAACTATAAATGGAGCAAATCATTTAAGTTGTTTTGACGCGTGCAATAGGGCGTAATTAAGCTGATTGAAAATTTCTTAGAAAATGTGATTGATGATGGGCCAATGTATAAAAAGTTAATAAACATATGCAAGAAGATGAACAAAATGAGATACTGTCCCTGGAGAAATGTATGTTTCCTTCGGCACAAAATAAACGTTTTTCATTTCTTTGAAAATGATTTGTGAATCGTCTTAAGTTGTTAGAATTAATGTTTTCTAGTTTTATTATCCTTTTACTGTAGAAATATATTTATTGATAACTATCAGTATAGAAAAATTAAGAAATTAATTGAAAAAGTCTTGATGATTAATCCCGAAATGCAACTAATTTCAACACAATCACGCATACTTATTGTTTCAAAGGGAGGTCTTGTATATTATACGCAGTATAATTAGTTGTTTTAAGCTGTTACAATTAGTATGTATGAAGTCAAACATTTTTTTTTAATAATGTTTAATTTACGCTGTAACTATTCCTTGATTTTTCTATTTAATGTTCATCGGCTACCATTGATATTGGGCATGCAACAATTTTCTAAAAAATCTCGAGACAAGTTTTCCAAAGTCAAAAGGCTTTTCTGAGATCATATCGGCCAGTCGTACATTTAAGTTGTTTATTGGCTTTGTTGTAAGGCAGCTAAACTATTGCCATATCACAATACACAATGCTTAACTTATTCCAATCTGAGTTATTTCCATGTTTTGAATATGTATTGCTTTTTAACGTCCCCTGTCTATCTAAATAACACAAGATCCAGTTCTACATAATATTATGGGATCTAATTTCTGGCTTAATCTAATTACACTGTTTTACAATGAAATGTCTAGTTGGTGTTAAACTTTGTTTTGAATAATTCTGGATTTTATCACGTTTAATTGTTAATGATACTTTTTTATAATTTTTTCTGTCTCTAATTTTTCGAGAAGTTAGAAATACATGTACTAGTAGTTAAAATATTAAACGCTTGTTGAGATTTAGTACTATACCTGCCATAATTGATTACGGTACTTATATTTCAAAGCAGCTCCCCTTTCAGCTTATAATAATTAGGTGTAAAGTTTTTTGGAATGTTCAATCTAGAATTGTTTCAATTCTTCAAGGAACTAAGAATCAATGGCTTTCATAACTTTGAAAGGTTTTGTGCCAAGGGGTTGTCAGTTTGTTTTTGACCTATGAGTTTGAATGTCCCTTTGGTATCTATCACGTCTCTTTTCTAATAAGTTCCAGTTCTTAAACAGGACTATGTCAGTCATTTGAATAAACGAGAAAATGATTTTAAAGTAAGGATTCACATTTTACATTTCTAGTCGAGGATAGTTTTCATTATTTGATTTGGATATTTTTTTCTGATATAAAACATATGAGTATTTCCTTGTGTATTCAAATGAAAAAAAATGTATTTATGTAATTATTTGAAAGAAGGGTAATAAATTTTTCGATTACTTTGGTTTCCTGACTTTAAATGACTTTAAATCATGTTGTTTGTGTCAAAACTACCAATAATCGAAAAGGACACAGGTGGAGAGCAAGATATTAATTATAAAATACTGATCTTAAATTTGCTGTAATAAAGATATGTTGAAGTTGAAACTACTGTTTTATTTATTATAGAAGGTTCTTGTTTCATTTTGAATACTTTCAGAAGAGCCGTTAATCAAATACAAAAGACCATTTCCAGCTTATAGTCAGAATTCGATTACAGTCTCATTTTATAAAACATGTTTTATTGTATTTTCCCTCATTAATCAGATTTAATTTTAGATTATATGTAATGATTCTTCAAGGTAGTTTACAGGATTTTTTCCCATTAGAACAAATAGTTTAGTAAATTTTTACAAGAATTTCTATGAATGGCCTGGCAATGTCATCTCAATTGAATGTTTTCATGTAGTGCCAGTTTAAAATGATAGATATATGTTTTAAAAAGAACTGATTGAATGAGAAAAAAAGAGCCCATTTTATAATATAAGTGTATAGTGATGAGTTTTCCTCTCAAACACATAAAACTCTTCCTAAATATTAAAAAAGCAACATAAAAGAGAGACGAAAGATACCAAAGGGGCATTCAAATTCACAAGTCGGAAATAAACTAACAATGCCATGGCAAAAAAAGGCCAAAAGATAAACAACACTTCACAAACCACAACACAGAAAATCAAAGACTGAGCAACACGAACCCCTTCAAAAACCGGGGGTAGGGGAAGATCTCAGGTTAATTGCATATAACTTAGCAAGTATATTTATTCTTGAACAATTCTAAACTGATATTAAAATAAGTAGCAAAAGAATTTGTTACTTAAGAAAATATCCAGATGATAATAAATATTCAGATACAACAGAGACAACCGTGAACGAATTATGATGTTAATGAATTGGGACAGGCAAACTTCATTCATGTTTTCAATATCCCATCATCATTATTATTATTAATAATTATCAACATAAAGCTGTATCATAAAATATTGATTTATAACAAAAACAAAAATATGATAATGTATTTACAATCTGTAAAACAACGTATAAACAAAATTACCGAAAATAAATTCAAAAAGAGGGAAATCAAAAAAACCTGACAAAACCAAACTGTCGACTCTATCGACTGACGGAACGAATGGAAAACAACTGTCATATTCCTGACAAAAACCAAACCGTCGACTCTATCGACTGACGGAACACATGGAAAACAACTGTCATATTCCTGACAAAAACCAAACCGTCGACTCTATCGACTGACCGAACGAATGGAAAACAATTATCATATCCCTGACAAAACCCAAGCAGTCAACTATATCGACTGACGGAACGAATGGAAAACAACTGTCTTATTCCTGAGAATAATCAAACAGTCGACTCTATCGACTGACGGAACGAATGGAAAACAACTGTCATATTCTTGACAAAAACCAAACAGTCGACTATATCGACTGACGAACGAATGGAAAACGACAGTCATATTCCTGACAAAAACCAAAAAGTCGACTATAGCAGCCAACGGAACGAATGGAAAACAAATGTCATATTCCTAACAGAAACCATACAGTCGACTATATCAGTCAACGAAACGAATGGAAAACAACTGTCATATTCCCGACATAACAAAATAGTCGACAATATCAGTCA